AGCTAAAAAACACACACCAACAAAAAAATATTGGAGTAGCCCAAGATATAGCCAAAGATTGCAGCGCCACAGCACTAGCGAAAATTTAAATTTGCTGACTGGAATGCTTTCGGATAACCGGCTTTCGGATAAACGACGCTCCACTGTATTAACTTTATTATATAAACAATTAATTAAACAAAATTTATGTATATCAAATTTGTTAAAATTATCTTGCAATACTATTAAATATCATTTGCAAAAGTTTTATTTTACTTAAGCATTTTTTAAGACTGTAAAGTTATAAAGGCCTAGTCTATAAAAGGTATATTTAAAGTATATTTATACATAAATTTCATCATCAATTTAATTTCGGAGAAGGAATCTTTTAATAATTGACATATAGGAGTTTTGTTTTTATTTTAGTAAATTATATATTTGATATTCATTATATTGTAGTACATGCAATGCTATAATATGAAACGCTTTTAGCAAATAACACAAAATATACAGGGTGTATATGAAGTCCTATCATAAAATTTGCATACATAAACTACACACTAAAATAAATAAAAAAGATCTAGCAAACATGGGTTCCAAAAGAAACCAAAACTCTGCAGGCTTGATTAACAAGTCAGACTACGTCCACTGACAGTACCTCTTACTTGTTCAAAATGGTTTCCCGGAAACTCTAAACAACTGTTATTACTCCGCATGATGGATTATCATACTCTTTCAAATATACCAGGTTGTTGCCGACATTCGTGAAATGCCTGGACAATTCGTTTCTATAAATTATCACCGTTTGTAATAGGTTGCGAGTGCATTAGTTGTTTTACGTGGTTCCAGAAATAAAAGTCAAAGAGGATTGACATCGGGTAGATTGACATCGATCAAGAGAATTGGGTCGATTTGGCTACTCTACAGATCTATTTCCACCTATCCTTCAATTTGAAAACTTTTCGTCGGAATACTGGCATGTTAATATACTAAAATGCGCTGTCACGAACCACATATCTGCACGAAACTGCAAAGTAACATTATCAAGCATCTCAGAAAGTATGTTTGCCATTAGCTGCTTCAAAAACTGATGGTACAGAGGTCCTGTGAGACGCGAACGTAGGAGATATGAATATGGATCAATCAGTTTATCCCCGCAATTCCCGCTGAAACATTGATTTCTTAGTTTATCCCGCTCAATCGTGATGATAATATATACTGTCTCTAATTAACATCGCTTCGTCTGAAAAGAGAAGTTTGGAGAGGAACTGGCATATATATATATATATATGCACATTTTTAACGCAAGGCTATTGTGTAATCTTGGAGTTTCAATTCCGAAAATCACTGAGGCGACAAGAAACAGTTCATTTTCATTCAAAATTCTTCATATAGTCATATGACTAACCCGCTTTACAGTAAAGCTGTAATCCTCCAGATGCTAATTGGAGACTGATTGGAACTCGTTTAAAAGACGTTCCACCATTTAAGGGTTCCGAATGACTCTTTCACCCCCGTATTCACCAACGCGAGTTAGAGTTAAAGTTAGGGTTAACTCGCGAGTTATTGGTAAATTGGTATTCACCAACTCCGAATCTCGAGTCAAACACAATAACCCTAATTCTAACTCTACCTCTAGAAAATCGGCGAGTAGACGATAACTCTAGGTTTGACGCCTGCGCAAAGCGATCTATTTCAGGGAAAAATGGCGACATTCGACGAGAACGAAGCCGAGAAGCTAGAAAATCTGAAATATCTAGATTATATAAATCAGTCTTTCTCAACGGTAGCGATATCGTCCCCATGTGGGCGTTTTTCCATGTTGAGGAGGCGATTAGTAACAATTTATATTTTGGGCGAAAAACAATTTTCTGGGCGTTATAGTAAAACATTATATTAAGAATAATTAGATATTTTATTTGTTATATCGTACAATAATTAAACAAATAACATTATACTAGTCACTAGTCTATTCAATGCAATACGAATTTGGCGTTAGTCTTGGTCCTCAGTATCGGAATTTTGAAGTGAAGGGGCGATAATAGGTAACGGTTTTATTGAAGGGGGCAATACTACGTTGAAGGGAGCGACGATTCGTTAGAGGTTGAGAAACACTGCTGTATATATACAGTAGAAATCTGTCCGTTCACGAAATTCCCGCCTGAGAAGTTTGCTGTTTTTCAACAAATAGATGGAATAAGCATGAGAACGGCTACGGAACCGAAATTAACGAAATTAGTTATGAATAAGATTGATCAAGAGATAGCAACTTGTAATGGAATCATTTTTGTGGCAAGATATGGATGACATTTTCTTAGTTTATGATAATAATAAAATAAATAAAACACAAATTTTGAATTTCGTTAATGGGTTGTACTCTTCAATTCAATTTAAGATAGTTTATAGAAAATAGAAAGTAAAGAAAAAAAAATTGAATTATTTAGATATTTCAATAATTAGATCGGATAATATGTTTATAATAAAAATATATGGAAAGGATTTTAATACTCAGAAGATAATAAACTATAAATCCTACTGTCCGTTGTCAATAAAAAGAAAAGTATTTTTTAGAATTATCCATAATATGAACAAATGCGCACGATATAATAAAAGATCAAAAAATAAGTTAAAACAAAAAGTTTAATTGAATGATTATCTAAATATACGGAAACTACAGATTATAGATTATGTTGCTATAATGTTCGATTTAAGAGTGTACATGTCATTTTCGTACATTCGTAACACATGTCGTACCTCGTACTTCGAACGACTGTAACTGAAGAGTTCGAACGCAGAACCATCGCCATGCAATTACCAAATAACTAGCTTTATCCTCCCTTTAAAACTCTTCTCTTTTCTAGCTTAAGTTAATCTATGGTAATTTAAAATTATTTTAATCAAATTTACTGACATTAAGATTTTAAATTATTTTACAAATAATGATATGTGTATGTCTATTTTTATGTAGGCCTACATAAAATTCTTATATTTGTACTTGAACTTTTATAAATGTATTCTTTATATCTGAACTTTAATGTTATTAATTATGTTAATAAACGGCTTTATATTGTAGTTTACTTCGACAACTGTATTGCTCTATCTAATATCATACTTTAAAGCAGGGGTGGCCAACCTTTTTAGCAGGCGGGCCAAATTTCAGAAATAATATTTCCTGCCGGGCCATGCACCTATTTTTTTTTGTTAATTAAAGTAAACAAACAATCGTGTTACAGATTCAACCACATCGTTGCTTCCCAATGGGTGAGATCGTGGTCAAACACTTGCCTGATTTAATGTAAAGAAAAAACACAAAAAATAGATATATTTATTCTTTTGAAGAAAATAAAACATAACCGAGAATTATTTATTTAATAACCGAGAAACATATTTATTAGACAATTTAAAAATATTTAAAAGTGAGACATCTGATTTTGTTCTACCAAAACTAAGTGCATCAAGTTTTACAAAACTAAGTGCATCAAAATTGATCTCGAGTGATGTTGTCGCTACACGCAGTTTTCCAAATGAACATCAGTAATTCGTGTTCTCAGTTGTGATTTGATGTACAGTACTTCATGCGACCAAAAAGCTGTTAACACGTACAGTATAAGTGTTTCCAAATAGCGAAACCATTGACAGAGCATGTTTGTAAAACGCAGGATAAATATCCTTGTCCAAATACGTTTCATAGAACTCTTCCAAACCTTCTTAACTCTTCTAATGTTCTTTTGGTGATATGTACAATAAAGTTAACATTTATGTTCATTTGACCTAGCTCCGCGGGCCTCAANTTACAGGCTATTAAACTATATCTTCAGACTCCTATGCGTTTTCGTCGTTATCCTACTGCAGTGCCGTACTGTATTTCATTGACACATGCATGAAAAAGAACGCAATTATTACTCCGAGAACACTCTCTTTAGTTCTGGTCGTTTCCAAAATTAAAGATGGTGCAAAAAGGTCAACGCTTTTCATTGAATGCCGAAGTTCAAGTTGTATGGAATAGATAAGGAAAAACCAGTTTTTCTCACGAACGGAATGCAATACTAGATTGAACGTTTAGAAAAAAGTTTCCTTTGTAAATTATAACTATGTTTAAAAATATGGATAAGTGTGATTAAAATAAATGATTTTTACTACTGTTTAAAACTAGTCACATGATTCTACCTTTCCCTACACAGTACTAATTTTATAGAAATAGAGACCTTATTTATCAATCAACCCTCCTATAAAATTTATGTATTAAACCAATATTTATAGGCGTAAATAATCAATCTAAATGAAAAAATATTATACAAACTTTATTGAAAGCTATATAAGTTATTTTATACTATAAGATAATTTTATATCGTTAATTTTAAAAATTCAAGTTAAACAAATATAAGAAATTTTAAATTAAGAAAAATGAAAACTACCTGTAATTTTTTTTCCAGTGTGCATGGAAAATTATTTTCATTTACCCAGAGAATCCAGTACCAAAAGCGGGTATAGGTTCTATTTCGGGTAATGTATCTTCCACAGATTCGGGTGTTACATGGATCTTTTCTTCCACGGATTCGGGTATTGTATGGATCTCTTCCTTATTCTCGTCTGATTCCACGATTACAACAGGATCTGCTTGTTCCGGTGTTAAACCTTTATCATTTGTTTCATTATGTTTAGAAGCACTTTCATCCTTATTACTATTTTTCGGCGGAGGATTGTCATTAGCATTAATGACTGAAAAAATAACTATCAATACAAAAATCGAGACCTAAAAATAAAAAAATAAGTAATATACCAAAACTTTAGAATATTTCCATTTTATAGTGATATGAATATTTAATTGTTTAAAATACATCTTACCAAATTTTTCATGTTAAAACCTTAGAGAAGGCTTAAAATTAAATAGTTGTTGCTTCTATGCTGTGTAATATACAAACTAGTGTGTACAAACTAGTATAGCAACAACAGTGTTGAACGTCCTTCACCTGACGTGAAAATATTCATCCTCTAAGGTCTAAACAAATTAACAAGTTAATTTAAATATATTATTCCAGGAGATTTCTGGCTAGTTTTATTTAGTAAATAAATATAAAATTCTTTCAAATCTTTAAAAGTTGTGACATTTTATAGCATCATTTTATATTTGAAAACAATTTTAAAAAAAAGTATTAACAAAATATGAATATAACAAGTAAAATTAAAAATTTAAATTCTTTAATGTTAACTTTATTATAAACAATTAATTAAACAAAATTTATGTATATCAAATTTATTAAAATTGTCTTGCAATACTATTAAATATCATTTGCAAAAGTTTTATTTTGCAAAAATTTAATTTCGGGGAAGGAATCATCTAATATGTGACATATAGGATTTTTGTTTTTATATTAGTAAATTGTATATTTGATGTTCAGTGCATTGTAGTATATGCAATGCCATAATATGAAACGCTTTTAGCAAATAACACAAAATATACAGGGTGTATATGAACTCCTATCATAAAATTTGCACACATAAACTACACACTAAAATCAATAGAAAAAATCTAGCAACATGGGTTCCAAAAGAAACCAAAGGCTTGATTAACAAGTCAGACTACGTCCACTGACAGTACCTCTTACTTGTTCAAAATGGTTTCCCGGAAACTCTAAACAACTGTTATTACTCCGCATGATGGATTATCATACTCTTTCAAATATACCAGGTTGTTGCCGACATTCGTGAAATACCTGGACAATTCGTTTCTATAAATTATCACCGTTTGTAATAGGTTGCGAGTGCACTAGTTGTTTTACGTGGTTCCAGAAATAAAAGTCAAAGAGGATTGACATCGATCAAGAGAATTAGCTACTCTACAGATCTATTTCCACCTATCCTTCAATTTGAAAACTTTTTGTCGGAATACTGGCAGGTTAATATACTAAAATGCGACGGTACGCTGTCGTTCACGAACCACATATCTGCTTGAAACTGCAAAGTAACGTTATCAAGCTTCTCGGAAAGTATGTTTGCCATTAACTGCTCCAAAAACTGATGGTACAGAGGTCCTGTGAGACGCAAACGTAGGAGTTATGAGTATGGACCAATCAGTTTATCCCCGCAATTCCCGCTCAAACATTGATTTTTCAGTTTATCCCGCTCAATCGTGACGATAATACAGTATAGCGTCGATTATCCGAAAGTCAATCATCCGAAAGAATTCCAGTCGGCAAATTTAAATTTTTGCCAGTGCTGTGGCGTTGCAATCTTTGGCTATGTCTTGGGCTACTCAAATATTTTCCGTTTTTGATACTAAATTAACTTCTGAAGTATAATTTTTTAAATTTTTTATATTTTTCAATATATTTATTTTGTTCGTACAAAATAAAAAAAATAATTTTTAACGATACAATAGTCTTCGTTAGACTTAACATCGAAGAAAATTCAACGCGAAGCGACACGCAACGGAGAAAAATTTCAAGATGGGAAAAATTAATATATTTTTTCGTGCATAATCGGTTATCCGAAATATCGATCTTCCGAAGAACCCTAGCCCCCAATTGATTCGGATAATCGACGCTCTACTGTATATCTTGTCTCCGTAAACATCGCTTCGTCTGAAAAGAGAACTTTGGAGAGGAACTGGCATAGATATGTGCACATTTTTAACGAAAGGCTGTTGGGTAATCTTGGAGTTTCAATTCCGAACTCACTGAAAGTGACAAGAAACAGTTCATTTTCATTCAAAATTCTCCATATAGTCATATGACTAACCCACTTTACAGTAAAGCTGTAATCCTCCAGATACTAATTGGAGACTGATTGGAACTCAATTTAAAAGACGTTCCACCATGAGGTTGCCTAATTCCGAATGACTCTTTCACAAAGCTAGATACAGTATTTACTTTTCTGCATTCGTGGAGTTCTTAATTTAATTTCGCTAAACATTGCAGAATATGGAATTCGTCGGTTTGGGTACAGTTCTTGGTAATTTCTACGGATTTCAAAGGCGTTTCCAATTTATCTTACTATAATATAAGTGCATGTATGCCATTTTTGCAAATGTTTAATCATTAGACATTTTAATGCCCGTTCACTCACACAATCACGGGCGGATCTAGGTTTTTCGGTGCCAAGGGCTTATTGAAGTCCAATGGGGTCCCAGTTTTTGTTAAATTAAGAATCATTAAATTGGGGATTAAAATTCATTTTTAATAACATCAAAATCAGAGTTGAAATATATTTATTTATGAAATGGTGTTAAATGAAAAACTTTATATCTTATTTTAAAAAAACATAACAAATAAAGAAATAAATATATCAATTAACTACCGACCAATTACGTTACATTGATTATAATAAAGCAAATAATATTATAAATTATCATTATTATTTTATATTAATATTAACTAATTTTTACTATACGATAAGTGCTCATTGTTAATGAAAAAGTATTAAAAATTTATGATAATTCAATTTTTGTGGGCCCTTGACACTTGGGGATCCAGGGCTTAAGCCCTATTAGTCCCTATGTAGATCCGCTCCTGCACACAATCACTGCTGATAATTTGCCCAGACTTATCCCAGCCTTTTGCTGACAAGAAAACATTTTCCCATTGCATATTTTACATATTTTACTTATTGTTTACGCCTTTGAGCCTCCGTACAGCTTTAGACTACTGATTATTTGTAAAACGGGTGTTTTTAGAATTCATATTTACCAAAGCATTTTTAGTATGTAGTTTATGTATGCAGATTTTTTGACAGAGATTCATATACTATATATACATTCTGTATATCAGTGTTTCTCAACGGGAGCGATATCGCCTTCATGTGGGCGTTTTTTCATGTTGAGGGAGCGATTAGTAACAATTTATATTCTGGGGCGGCGAAAAACAATTTTCTGGGCGATATAGTAAAACATTATATTAAGAATAATTAAATATTTTATTTGTTATATCGTACAATAATTAAACAAATAACATTATACTAGTCACTAGTCTATTCAATGCAGTACGAATTTGGCGTTAGTCTTGGTCTTCGGCATCGGAATTTTGAAGTGATGAGGGCGATACTACGTCGAAGGGAGCGACGATTCGTTAGAGGTTGAGAAACACTGCTGTATATATACAGTATAAATCTGTCCGTACACGAAATTCTCGCCTGAGAAGTTTTCTGTTTTTCAACAAATAGATGGAATAAGCATGAGAACGGCTACTGAACCGAAATTAACGAAATTAGTTATGAATAAGATTGATCAAGAGATAGCAACTTGTAATGGAATCATTTTTGTGGCAAGATATGGATGACATTTTCTTAGTTTATGATAATAATAAAATAAATAAAACACAAATTTTGAATTTCGTTAATGGGTTGTACTCTTCAATTCAATTTAAGATAGTTTATAGAAAATAGAAAGTAAAGAAAAAAAAATTGAATTATTTAGATATTTCAATAATTAGATCGGATAATATGTTTATAATAAAAATATATGGAAAGGATTTTAATACTCAGAAGATAATAAACTATAAATCCTACTGTCCGTTGTCAATAAAAAGAAAAGTATTTTTTAGAATTATCCATAATATGAACAAATGCGCACGATATAATAAAAGATCAAAAAATAAGTTAAAACAAAAAGTTTAATTGAATGATTATCTAAATATACGGAAACTACAGATTATAGATTATGTTGCTATAATGTTCGATTTAAGAGTGTACATGTCATTTTCGTACATTCGTAACACATGTCGTACCTCGTACTTCGAACGACTGTAACTTCGGACGCTTTAAGAGTTCGAACGCAGAACCATTGCCATGCAGTTACCAAATAACTAGTTTTTTCCTCCCTTTAAAACACTTAGTTAATCTATGGTAATTTAAAATTATTTTAATCAAATTTACTGACATTAAGATTTTAAATTATTTTACAAGTAATAATATATGTGTAGGCCTACATAAAATTCTTGTATTTGTACTTGAACTTTTATAAATTTTTTATTTATATCTGAACCTTAATGTTATTAATTATGTTAATAAACGGCTTTATAGTTTACTTCGACAACTGTATTGATATATCATGCTTTAAAGCAAAGTACCCAAACTAATGTCTATGATGAATCAATCGATTTCTTGGTTTACTGCCAACAAAATTACTATTGGTTGGTGGTCAAATTTACTTTTATTATACTTAAAAATATTATGATTATAACGGTTATATATTTTAAATTTTATTAAAGCTCACAATTTTTGAATTGTAAGTTAAGTTAATAAAAACATTGTTAAATAGTTATTTGAGTTTTTATTTCATTCTATTTGTAATTTATTTTATTTGGCATCAGTGTGTAGTCGGTAAATTAAATCTATGAGAACAGTGGAAAGTAACTAGACATTGAAAAATTACTATAATTTTATTATAATAATATAATAATAATAAAATTTTTATGTGCATGTACATCAATGAATTTTATAATCACTACATTGGTGATGCCAACGATGACCGAGACCATACACACAGTGGCAAAATGATGGCCGACCGCTTGTCTGTTCAAGAGCGAGCGCAGTTTGCTGCAAACTGAGATGTGAAAATCAGTGATTGTTGTGCAGAAATAATGGCGTGCGGTGAAGGAACGTCATGCCATCATTCGTCCGGAAACAATCAAGAACTGTCATTCGAAATTAAAATGACCACAGGTTTGGTTGCAGAGGCACAAAAAAGGGGTCGACCATTTACATCACAATCTGAGGAAATCATCGTTGATGAATATCGTTGATGTATTCAATTTTATG